TCATACATAAAAAAGAATCGCAGTGAATTTCTAACAGATTTTAGTTTGGCGATTTTTTCGTTTGAATGCGCTTTCATTCTGCACTTCGATGATGCTTTTTCATATTTCGGAAACACAAAAAAACGTATATTATCATTTTTACATGTTGCCTTGTACTACAAACTGGACCTTCTGAAAGTTAACAAACTGCCTACAGCAAATGTTCGACTTGAATCACACTTCTTAGAACTTTGGAAAGCATAAATGGCGTTGAAAGTAATGCTCTCAACCAAACCGAAGTTGAACAGCTTCGTTTGTTTGTTTCTTATCCACGTACATACGTATAACACAAATTAACCATAAAAAAATAAACAATTTGTTTAAAAAAACCATGTTGCTTTTGGCTCAGTGTATAGTATGAAATAAAATTATTTACAAAATTTTTATTTTACAATTTCTTTTGAATATACGCGTTTTACCTGTATAATTTTTTCAGTGTACACAAGTACAATATTTAACAAAAATCGTTCCATGGTCTCTAAATTTTAAATACTTATTTTACATTTTACTTTGATCCAACTTTGGCAACATCCAAATCTATTCCAATCGCCATAAAATTTCATATGCAGTAATTTTAATAAATTTTTAAATTTTAATATTTCCGAAGCGTGTACCGAGTAATATCAACAATAGAATAAATAAGCAACACCTTAATGTAAGTAAATGCATGCATTGAGGGTGTGACCAAACCGATATCAATCGGTTTTTCTTTTGAAAATTTCAGGCGTTTTTTTTTATCTTGAATTTTTCGAATACCGAGTAAACCGGACATTACAGACAAGCTGATGTGGGTGGGCACATCGTCGAGGTGGTTAGTGTCGTCGTGGTGTCTTATTCAAATTGGATTGAAAGTTTAAGAAATAAAATTAAATATTACTGAACAATGGAAAAGTGGTTTTCGTCTCGCGGGATGATTATTTTAAGATGTAAATTATTTTCTTCTTCTCATAATAATTGTATATGACTTTTGACGTTTATTCAACGTTTAACGTTTATTTCAAGACGGAAATGATTTACTCCTATACTTAATAATTATATGGGATTTTTATTGAAATGAAACTTCTTAATTGAGTTCGTAGATTTGACGCGTTAAATAATTAACACCATGATTTATTGATTGTTGTAAAGGGCTTTGCTTTTGGTTTAAGTCTTTTTTATTAAAATACACCCGTTTACCACATTTCAGTCGGATATCTCGAAAACTGAGGGAAAATCCCTCGTTCGAAGAGACAGGCAGACAAACAGACGGACATACATATGTGTCTAAATCGACTCAGCTCGACGTGCTGATCGTTTCGGTAAACATTTACATATATGGGTCTATCTATGTCCCCTTCTTCTGGTACTTACAAACAACGGACTAAAGTCATAATACCATTTCATTTTCATGAAAGGTATAACAACTGCATGGCCCTAAAAACTTTCTAAGAAGTATATCCGACACTGCTCAAAAATTTATATCGTCCATTTTCTAAACTAGTCCTTACGAGATGGGGGGCTTCTTAATATTCCGTCGCTTGTAAAAAAAAATTGTTTTAATACGCATTTACAATAATAAGTTGCAGAAATTTTTGAGTATGCAGTTTTTAGCCCATACAATTTAAGTGTAATGCAGTGCAAGTTTCAAACGGCTATCAAATTCCGTTGATTTTCGAAATTTTTTTTTGGTGACCGATTTTTTCAGATTTTGTTGAATATTCCTAAATTGTATACAGTTTGAAACTATGATTTATGTGGTTTTGGTTAAAGCTTGGACGGTATTTTTATAGAAAAATAACAAAATTTAGCTCGAAGAACATTACCAATATTAAAAAAAAAAAAAATTAACACATGGTCACTTGTTTGAGCTGAGTCACTGTATGTATGTACATATGTACACATACGAACTAGCTTATTTAATTCCTCATTCGCCGATTATTTAGTTAGCTAGAGGTATCGCAATGTCATTGCCAATGCTTACACACACATTTAGGGCCGTTAACACATATATTAGACCTCCATATTTTCCCAGCGTCTGTTTTGTATTTTGCGCACTTTAAACCTTATGCCATGACTAAACTGCCACCGACCGCAATCACATCGTATTTAGAGATTCATTCATGCAAAAGGCAAATGTTTTATACCTACATATGTACATACATATGTATGCGCATAGTTAATTTTCGTTTATTTTATCGGATCGTTGACCCTAATTACAAACAAGCACATTAAGTATTTACTAATCAATATAATAGGGATATTCTCGAAGTCTTGCACTTTGCACGGATTGCACGAAATGCAAAAATACTATTCCAATTTTGGAAGAGTACGAAAGCACCCCATCGCAAAGTAAAAGCATGGATAGGTAGCAGCCAGTGAAATTCTGTATCAAATAAAATAACAAGAACCCGCAAAAAAATTAACTGAGCGAAATAATAAGAGGAATGAGAGCAACATGTCGCAATTCCAACAACAAAACAGCTAGCACAGGGTCGCATTAATCTTGCTATGCCTTTTTGAAAAATGTGCGCATGGGTTTAGTGTTTGCAAGTTATAACATCCGTGCAATCCGTGCTACGTACAACAGCTTTGCAAGATGTCGAGAATACCCCTAATAACTTGCATATAGAAAAATTTATACATTCAAACGAATGAGCAAAAGCGGAAGCACAGGAGGGCAGCAAAAAAAGCTGTGAGCTACGTGCTAACCAATGCAAATAATTATATGATAGGTAGTCCGAAAACACCGATATCCTTTGATCAAAAACAACTAAATCGTAAACAAATAATTTTTAAGCAAAAAACGTATACAATATCATATCATATACAAATTTAGGAGTGCCGTTCGTTTATTCATGATCCAATGGTCGGTGCTTAACCTTTCCTAGAATCATCGAAAACGGTTAACATCCGGTAAGTTATCCGGTAACATACTACATACTTAAAAAGAAAAAAAAGTCCGACGAATATACATACCTTCTAGTTTTCTTAAAGTCGGTTACAAAGTTGTGGCATTCATCTAACGTAGGGCTGCTAGACGTCCTGGTTTTCCAGGATTTTTTCTGATTTTGGAAATTTTTCCTGGTGTGCTGGTGCGCGCCTCTGGTTCTTTAATGAAGATCAATGCGGACGCCCACATCATTTTTGGCAGATTTTCGCTATGAAAAAGGGTTAAGATTTCTGTTATCTGAAATCGATAACGAAACGATTTTTCTAACATGTCGAACAATATCTTTTCTGTTTAGTTTATTTTATTAAAATTTTACTTTTTACCCAAAGAAAAGCTTCCAGAATGGCTTCTATAGCACACACCTCAGACGGCCTTTTGGAAAAGTTCTTTTAAATCTGTTCTTTTAATTCATAAAAATCATATCTACTTCTTTAATTTATTTATTTGAGCATTGAGTCTTAAATGCTTATTGAATTTCATTTGTAATGCTAAATAATATAAACATGCACTTAAGTAGATTCGCATGAATTGTAAATAGGAAAGCCCTCTCCAGGAGGCATGCAGAGAAGCACTTTTTCAGCTCTTTTTGGGTAAATATTTTAAAATGGCTGCACTTAAGATAGCCTATCTAAATTATTTTCTGGTTGCGCATATACAAAATGGACAAAATGATCATGAAGCGCATTGTAGGATATTTAAAAACTTGCTAATGAGGGTAAGGCGAGCAATCAAGACCACATTAAAGGTGCCAAACATTTTTCCAAGTTACATACATATGTACATCACAGTCAAGAGAAATGTGCTCTTTTATGATTGAAAAATATTCAAATGTAGAGTGTTTCATACAACCCCATCATCATCAATCATTCAGCTCTACGGATCGTCCCACAAAACTACATTGCTTATAATAACAGAAATTACTTACAAAATAATGCAACGCCAAAATCAAAGCAAATGTATTTAAGGGGAATGTATTGGTACCAATATTAAATTGTATCTCTGATTTTTATTTGGATGATAAGTATCCTGGCCAATGGGTTCAGGCTTATGGCACGTTATATGAATACCCCTAGTGAAGAATCTTTTATTTATGAATGTATAAAAATCGGTTTATGCGCTTGGCTTGAAACTGGCAAGTATCTGTGTTTTTTTAACTCGTCGGTAAAGCTTTTGAAGACTGCAATTCAATGGCATGCACCTGGCCGTTGAAGCAATGTAGTTACTTATAATGGCTAGGGCTTTCCTCCGCTAGTATAGAGGTGCATAGCCTGTAGGAGCTAACGGCATCTACCACTACACCTGTAAAGATTATGAGTATTCGCTCTTTTGGCCAACGAAATAACGAAGTTCCCTATTATGAAATCGTTTTCGATTTTGAGGTGGAATAGGGATTTCAACGACATATGAACATATCGTTACCTTAACTCCCTAACCAACACTTTTTCTCGAAACTACTTTTTACATTTTGGTAGGATGTATTAAAATACGCCTTCAATTAAAATCTTAAAGTGTTAGTACCAAAAACAAGGGAGTTGGCATAATTTTTAAAAAGCCCTACCTGTTTTTGATATGAACTCTTTTCATAATGTTTTTTGCTTCTCCTGTCAAATAAAAAAGAACTTGTGGCTTAGGGCCTTTGTGAATCAAGGTAACGATCAGTGTTGCCGTTTTAATCCATATACGTCAAAAGTGATACGTGCTTGAGCAAATTTTCGCGTAATGTAGTCGAAAGCAGTAATTCGATAACAACAATCTATAATTTTTCTTAAGAATCCAGCATAATTCGCAAGTAATCCCTTTCGATGCCGAGAGACTAAAGGCCTTTAAATCTAATAACGGCAAATTTAAATACTTCCATCCGAACTAGTAACATAAAAAGGTTTTAATATCCCTAGCCTAGCTTGCTTTCACTACGAAGCCTAGAGATTATTTGAGTTCGCCACAGCCTTTTTAATTCTGAATAATATTTTCTACGTACTTTAATTAAAAAATATGGCATAAATCAATAAACACACTTATTCTTCACTTACAGCCATTCACAATTGGCATGGCGATGTTCGTTACGGTCTACCGCTTGATGTGGGCGATTCCGTCGAAATATTGGAGGAATGCACAAATTGGTATCGCGGCACGTGTGCGCGCAAATCCCGCGCTGTCGGCCTTTTTCCCAAAACCTATATACACATCAAGGATCTGTCGAAAATTGATCCAGTGGTTGGCGAGTGCACACAAGTTTTGCGTGAATGGTCCGAGATATGGAAGAAACTCTATGTGGTTCGTATACACTCGATCCCATTATTGAATTAAAAATATATATCTATATGTGTACATATATATATAAAATTTTAATTTAAAATCTGTGTTAACTATTTTTATTGGTTTTGCGCTTAAAGGATCGTGAAACATATAAATTTCACACGCTGCGCAAGGTGATGTTATCCATCTTAGATTGTCGTCGGGAGCTTTTGGGTGCCACGCTGACGCAGGACCAAACACTGGAATTGCAAACATTGGTTGTGTCACGCATCGATTGGGGAAATCGGTAAGTGAAGTTACGAACAAATGTTTTATTAATTTTTTTGTAAAAAAATAATTTAATTTAATTTAATTATAGTTAATCGTAACACCCATCCCAGCATTCTTTTGTCTATTAAATTAAATTTAATTTTAAGCGATTTTGTAATTTCCTCAATGAGTCCAATTACGAGTAAAGAAACTCAAATTATGCTCCAGCCAAAATATCTCGAGCTGTCATGGTTACAGCAGTTACAAAGCCTCTCTCTCTCGATTCAGAACGGCATTACTTGGCTTCCTGTATGTATGTACGTACCCATAAAGCTACTACGACGAATGTTTCTTCTGACGATTTTTTCGGAACAAGAAAATACGAAATGTGTCGGTAATTAATTTCGTTAGCCATTTCAACATTAACCTTACAATAGCCACGATCCTGCAAAAAAGTATAGTACATTTTCCACTGGCGACCATTCTGCCACTGAGTTTTCCCAGTATCACGAGAATAAACCCAAACTATAATAGCTACAATATAGGCAGATAAATCTCTGGACTCGATTGAAATTCAATCGATTAAGGTTGGGTACGAACGAATAAAGAGTTCGCTATACTATACATCATCGCAATTATTGTTGATGCTGTTTCAGTCGTTGGAGTCAAGCTGAACTTACGGTAGGCGCTAAAAATTCGTTGTTTCTACATACGAGCAAAGTGAGAGGGAGTTTTAGCTACAGTGTCGGACAAATAAATAAGGTTGCTATTGGCTATTTTTCTTTCGTTTATTTAATGTTCTTAGAAAAGTGTAGCCCATTATCTATCAAAAACCTTGCAAGTCATTTCAAAGAATCTTTAACAAACATTTGTGCACAAAGCTTTATAGCCCACAAAATTTTAAAATAATAAAATTCAAGTTCGAAATCGCTAGAAACTCTTTTGGATTTTATTTTTCATTTTTGCTGACGCTGCCGCGCATTTTCCAGCAAAAAAAATATCAAAAATCATGCGAACTCCTCTAACAATTTTCCTAATTTTTGTACAAAGTTTAAAATTTGGACTTACATAGTTTTTGTTAGATCAAACAGGTCAACAATTAAAATAATTGTAGGTGCCGAGATATCGTTAGTGCTTTCTTAATTTTTTCCTACGTATAGTTTTGACTTTAACCTTGGTTTTGTATATTGGCTGTAATTAATCATTTTTGGGCGCATTTTGAAGTCTTATCGGTACGTTTCTGTAAATAAATTTATTTTAATATCACGTCTTCATCGCGTACAAGTTGTCGCAATGAGGCAAATGTATTCTTCCAAAACTTATTACAGATTTTTCCTGTTACAAATCGAAAATTGTCGATGATTCCATCCGTGGATACCCCAAATTGTCTGTAAACTGTGAATACTTGACACATGGGCCAGTGGTTAGAGAAGTCGTAAGAGATTCGGCTTGCCTGTGTTATGGAAATAAGAGAAAAGTTTGCGTTGTGTTTACGTTAAAAAAATTATTAATCTAGATTTAGAATCGGCTATCATTTTGTGAGGAGGTGCCTGGTCCAAGGACACGAAGATTTACCTTGATCGACCATGATCAAGAAAGAGTGACTGAATAATAAATTATTCGTTATTCAGAATTATTTGAATGGTGAATGAAAATTTATTCGGCATTTGCATTTTCATAATAATGGATGAATTCTTCATCGGAAATTACCAGATTGATGAATCAAAATGTATTCGATAATGAATGAAAATTTATTCGTTATTTGAAATTATTGAATTGAAGATTAAAAAAAGAAAAATAGCCAAAACTTGTCAATATGTCGCGACCCTATTTATTTGTCTGACACTGTAAGTGGTTTTAAGGAAGAATGAGAAGGGAAGGTTTGTTGCATATGTATACTACTTTATATGAATATTCTCAATATAAAGATTGTCATAAGATCATTCTGCTCGAACACTTATTTTCGAAGAAAAGCCAAAGAATATTTTCTTTATTTTTCTATTTTGTAAGCTCGTTTTTTTTTCTCCGCACTAGCAAGCATTCGGTATATTTTCAAAATTATCAAACTTTATGCCAAACCAAATAAATAAGTACAATAACTACAGATTATCGCTTCATAAAATAGAAAAATTTATTTAAAGAAGTCTGCCTATCAATGATCACAATGTTCACTTTTTTCGTTCATGAATTTCTAAAGTTTAGACTATCTAAACACATTTTATCGAATGTACATATCTATTTGAGTTGTTTCTTATAAAATTTTCCGCTTCTCAATATATTCGTATATAGTTAAGGATCAATTAAGTAAGTAAGTTCTAAAGTCTTACACACAAGTTACAAATATTAAATTTATGAACTAACAAATCATATAAGAAATGCACATCATACATATGTATGTATGTTTTTTGTTTTTTTTTAAGTAAAAGTATGAAAAAATGGAAGCTAATTGTGGTGCACATAGTTATATCTACTGCAGAGGGCAATTATGATTTATGCTTTCTAATTAAACATCCATATTTCATTAAATAAATCCTATATTCTTCATGCTTTAGATAGATTATTTTCGATGTTTGAATAGGATACAAAATGGATTACAAAGAGTAACAATTGCACTGTTGCGCTGACAATTTTTGCTGGAATGCAAGCGTTTTTTGTTTTTTGTTCCTTTACTTGCTGTTATTTGATTATACGTACAATCAGGATAAACAGTCTTAGTTGTAAGTATACACTGAGATTGGTGCGGCCTGTTGTTTTTGAGTGGATTGAGGGAATGCCGATTGAAATTCGATGGAGCGATGTAATGAGATCTGTCAGTTTGACAGGATTAAATAGATTGTTACACAATGTTGCTTGCTGTTTGCATTTCTTCGCTGCTTTACTGTTTAATAGTTTTTAATGGCGTTTAAACTGTTTTAAAGTTTTCACTTCACTGTCTCTTCAGCTCTTGCCTCTATTTTCAATTCGATTGCTAAGCTTTATCTTGAACTCTTCTTAAGGCTTTTAATGTACATATTTATGTCTCCGTCTCCTTGCCAAATCGGTCTGTTTGTGGATACATCGGATGCATTTCCAAAGTGGATGGTGCTGATGGTGTGCGCGAACTGCCGAGTATGTTGCACAGCTCTTGCACCATTTCACAGTAGTACTTGGTATTAACATTTTGTCCCAAAAGGTGTAAAATGAGGAAGTCTCCAATCTGTGTAAACAAAATCAAATACATATCAATTATGTAAATAAAATAAAATAAAAATAATGCATTGAACTCACATCCAAACGACGAATTAAGCTCTGAATTTCCTTGCTTTGACCCGAGCGGTATGAACGTTTGATAATAGTTTCGCGTGTAGTTGGCATCATTATAACGACCAGTGAGTAAATCAAAGCTAAGCCAGATAACACCGACAAAATGATGAACCAAAACCTGTACATAGAGAAATTCAATTGCTTTAATTACAAATTAATTATTTCTCAACTTCAGCGCCATCTTACCATAAGAAAATGTAAATCTTTTCATTCAAAATATTCAACGCTAATACACAGAGAGTATCATGGGTCTGTGGTGAACCGCCTGGGCCGAATTTGCGGAATGTGCACTTGGTTAAACGTGGAAATATTTCAATCATCGGGTCGAAACGACTCTCCTGATCCATATTCGAGAATTTTATAACATCCGTGCCGTAAGAAAGAAAGTGCCACCCAAAAACTTATCCACCAAGAAGATGTTCAGCACAACATTAGCAAAATTCAATGCCTCACAAAAGTAGTAAGCGAATGAATAACTGCTATGCGAATTCAAACTATCCATCAGATATTTAATGATACGCGTCTGGCGATCCTTGCGATACTCCTCGGGAATAGTGATGAAGCCGCGCAAACCTTCAGTGATATTGCGCATTTTACCATCCTCTAAATTCTTCCAAATCCAGTGTGGAACGTAGAACATGAGGCCCTGAAGAAATTTAGAAAAAAGTGGACGATTTTTTAACTTGTGATTTCGTCTTATCAAAAAGATATGGTTTCATGCACCTGAAGGAATAATACGAATGGCACCCATTGATAATAGCTGTGGTAACGTTTCTCCTGTCCAAACTCATTGCCCAAACCATGCGCTGCCACGTCGGTACCGATCTGTCGATGCTGTTGACCAGGTATGGTAAATGTGTATGTAATCCAACAGAAAGTGTTGATAACATGCATTGGTATGGAGCCATCATTGATGCAGGCGATGGGATCACCTAAGTGGAAAAATAAATAAATTTTGAGTTATTATTTGAAACAGTTTAGAAAATGTGCTTAGTAACTATGTTTATGCTTTATAATAAATACGTATGTATGTTTATTAATTTGGTTATTAAATTTTTATCAACAAGCTCTGTAGGTGGTAAAAAATTCTTGGATATTAAATATTTGGCATAAATTATATTTTATAGAACACATTGCACCTCAGTGTCGTTCTCTCAGAAAGTGTTATAATAATAACATTTTTGGCGCTTAAANACTATCTTATTGACCACAACTGAATGTATGTATGTAGATATGAGTGTTTGTACGTACGTACATATTTATATGCTTTTTTCAGCTCATTAGTTCAATGCTTAAGTCTTTTAACTGTCAGTAATTATTTGCAACGAAGAATACAGTTTTTTTTGTGATTCCAACACTTGACCTGGAAAACAATTACAACTATAACTAGCTCATTAACTAGTCGCTTAGTTAAATAAAAACAAACAACTTGCTTCGCTCCTCCCCTAATGCCTGCCGCGTCACAGTTTTAAATGCCTTGAGTTGATAATCCCTGCAGCAGGCACTCTGATTTCTTCCGCCCACTCGGCATCATTATAAAATGCGTGACCAGCTAAGCTCCGCTTTAAAACTTTACATATTGCCCATGCTGGCTCAGTTTATACATTTGTAAGTTACATATATGTATGTACTTATGTATGTACATAAGTTTTATAAAACTGTAAGTAAACAAGATCAGCAACACTCATGAGACGAGTGCAAATGCATGTAGCGTACACACATCAAATCATGCAT